GGACTTCTTTGAATGTGAAACAATAATGGTAATGATGTTGTTTGTATGGAAATGATGAACACAACAATAGAATGTTACCACTTTTATTGATGTATATTCACAGTCCATTAATGAATTAATGAATAAAACGTTGTCTGATCGCGTTTGATACACACATCAACGGTACAATTAATAATATTACAGACATTTTGATTTTGATAATGTAACATTTTCGTTTGGCATTTGTGAAATACAACAACATTTCTCACATTTTACCACATTCACTGTAAATCTTGACGAGAAGCAATATCTTGATGATCATTACAACGGGAAAACACTTTCGATTTATTTCATAGTAACACATAAAATTCTCTTCATTGAGGTGCATCCAAATCGATTCGTTTCCGTTTGGCTGCTGGTTGTTGCTTATTGTTATCACTATTGCTATTGTTATTAGTATTGCTGTTGTTGTTGTTGTTGTTACGTTTGCGCTTTCTTTCACCTCTTTTTCGGGAACGTTTCTTATTTTTCGGAGTGTTTGAATTCGACGTTGACTGCTGATTTTGACTTGTTTTAGGCACTTCAGCACCTGAAATTTATTAAAGTCTCTTCATTGAGGTGCATCCAAATTTTATCGCTGCAATCTATTCACTGTTCTCATTACTTAACTACTAAAAAATAAAACATTCAACCCAAAAAACGTGTTAAAACATTCAAATGATCACTAAATAACACGCACAATGCAATGCCTAATGCAAAACTAATCCACCTCTATAAAAGAATTCACTAGACACATCTTACGCAATCGAATTAATCTATCAAATACCACACAACAACCGAATCTAATCTCTGCCCTCACCTCTCCATTTATTCTGTCGTTCTGGAAGGAACGCAGCCGGTATTCTCTTCTGCATCAGGTGATAGACCAGTGCCACATGCTCATCGATACCTTCAAACGGAAAACCAACCGCACGTGACACTTTGATCTCATCTTGCTTCTTCACATCTATTTCTATCCTGCAAACAAACCATTCCAATCGACCCGGAACCCTTCCATACTCAATTCACTTCAAATATTCTAAGTGCCCACACATCCGCATCATTATGACAACAATCAATTATTACTTCACCAAACCATATGGCCAAAATCAACGAATAAAAAGGCATTTTTAAAATTCCAACCAGTTCAAAATTGAGAAAAGAAAAGAACAAAAAATTGCAACGTATCAAACTTTTTCATTGTATCCAATGTGGTGTCCTCCTGCTGTTGTGGCAAAATCTCGATAGCATTCTCCTTGTTCATTCTCAACACATAATTTCCAGCTTGCAGATTTTCCAGTTCATTCAGCACCGACTTGAGGAATTGTATTCGTTTCGAATATCTGCAAACACACACACAAACCAAACTCAAACAATCAATGCCTCGGCCAAATAATAACTTATGAAATAAAATCCAAACTGAATAATGTTCACTGCAACATACAGCGTTCTTCGTCTCTCCTCTCGTAGTACCAATGTTCTCAACTCGTAACGTTCCTTCTGCAGGAAATGCAATTCGGAATGATGCAATCTGAAATCTAGTTAATTAATCGCTCGCAATCCATTTCATTCAGTCAATA